CTCCGGGAAACAAGACTGAATTCCTGATCAGCCGGGTCCTTTTCTGAAATCGCGTGTCTGTCGCCAGTTGGCACGGTGACAAACAGGCGTTCACTTGCATATCTGACGAGAGGAGCCACGCACATTTTAGCTACGCTGTTCAACGGCATGCATGCAGCTTCTCGGAGAAGAAAACTCTCTGGTCCACTACCCTCCTGAGAACGGTTACGTAACATCTTAAACTTATATGCATGGTCCTGTTGCGAAACCAAGAAACGCAGACAGAGAGGAAAACATCTGCCAAAGGATCGAGACGTGCAAGAAACTATGGCGAGCCAGGATACAAGCTTTTCCAAGGGAAGGAGACTCCGGGGTGGGTGAGCCACTTATTATACGCCAAAAGCTGGAATGTGTGAACAGTAGAGTGCCACACGGACGAGAGGTAAAGAGAGCGGAGAAAAATATAAATTTGACGCGTTCAAGGGAATCGAGTTCACGTTGTCCCTAGATCCCTGAAAACGAAGTAAAAAAAAGTCAAACAAAGCAAAGATCATGGAAGACCTCAACAAAAAGTCATTGTCCACGCAGTTATTGTGAGGGTGTCAAAGCGTGCAAGTTGCCCTTGAACTTCGAGATCCAGTGCAAAGCGGAAGAGGAACTACTTCGGGCACAGGTCTACATTCATAAGATAATTACTGCTAAGCACCGTCGTTGTCTTTCTACCTTTTTTAGGGATTACTTTCGTGCTTCATGATCAGCTCCAGTGCAGCAACTGCATTAGAGATGAAATAAACATGTATTTCAACAGTCGTGTTTGCTGCGGATGATAGGAGTGTCAGCGCCACGGCGTTTTGACGCGGCTCCAGCTCGTTTTTTTTCTTGCGCTTTCTGCTCTTCTTCTTTTTTTCGAGCGAGAGGGCTGTATCATATGGTTGATATCAGTCATCTTCCAGCACTTGTTGTCGCTTACCCGATACAATCACTGGTGAAAACGAGCTGACAGTCCGCCAAACGCAGCCGCGCTGACACTCCCATCATCCGCAGGGAACCAGAATTTATATTTAAGCTTTCTGACCAAGAATTAGCATCTTTAAGTAGAACTTTTCAACCCACTTTTCGGACCCATGTTGAAATTTCCCATATTTTTCATACCGGAACCTTTCTCACGAAGCAAACTGTACTCCTTTACAAGTGCAACAAATTGGTGCCACTGCCACTAACAGGAAAATCAAAGAAACAATTATCTTTATTTGACACCGCGTAACAATGAACCGACTACGAAATTAAGTAACATGATCAGACGCTTAAACCCGCATACTGTTCGTCCAACTGGAGATATTATACATAAACTGTTTTGAAATATCCCTCGTCGTTTTCAGCAGTGCTACCCAGACTTGCCATTCAATAAATGCGATGGAAATCCTTCAACAACAAAATGGCTATATTTTTCGTTGACCAGATGACACAGATCGTTGCTCTCCTGGCCCTGTTCCTTATTGAAAAAGGCAACTGTCATCTTAACAATAGCTTCCATTGCAACCTCAGGCTAAAAGGTACACATTACTCATTGCAAAACATCGGTCAACACTCTAGGACTTACAGCAGTCTCTCCATGTAACTTCATTCGTCTTCCAATGTATGAGTTCACCAAGAAAGGAAAGTCAGTGAACGTTGCATGCTCCGCATCCCTGCAAAGAATGAGAATCAGGCTTACAAAACCGAACCAGGGCTGATGAGCAACAGCGAGACATGGCGGCAAGCTCCTCCACAAAATACGTTCGTATGGTTTCTATAATGGAACGGAGACTTTTCTGGAACGTATTCAGTAAAAATTAAACATTAAACCGATACTGGGGAGACCGGAAGAGTCCTAGCCGTTCGTATCAAGGAACATCTGGCTAGCATGAGACGCAGTACTTCTTCAACAGCTCTTGGGAGGCACAAGCTGGAGGAACATAATGGCGCTGATTTTGAAATAAGGTGCACAGTGTTGGCGCATGAGACGGAAATTTGTGCGAGAAAGCTCTAGAAGCGTTCTGGATTTCCAAAAGGATTCCATCTATGAACAACCAGGATGAGCGTCCTTCAATAACCAAAGCACCCTCGCCGTTCATACCGCACTGCGAGCTGTAGAACATCAGTGTTACATGCGTCTCCCACAATTTGCTAATATCAGGAGACAGTACGGTCTTACTCGTCATCTACTAACGCTCTAAAGTTTTAGCGGATTTTTCTGCTTTGAAGGTGAAACACTGGATATGTTTGTCTTCTGGATTGCTAGATCTTCTCTTCGAGCTTCCCGACAGAATGTCGGAACCGATAGCGAAGATAAAGCGCTCAGTG